CACAAAGAAGCAACCTACAAAGATGAAAAAGTCAGCTGTTCATCATTTCCATTTTTAAAAAGAAAAAATGAAAAAGTAAATAACCTAGAACATGGAGCAAATTGATTCAAAAATTAATAAAGTGAAAAACAATAGAATTTGACAATAAAAATCAAAATGTTTTAAATAACCTAAAATAATGCGAAGAATGAAAAAAAAATAAGAAGAAAGCAAAATAAATTTCATTAAACAATAAAAAAAACAAGTGAAATAATGAAAAAAAAACAAATAAAATTAATGAAATAATATAAAAATACAGTAAAGAAAATAAAATAGAATAAAAAATTCACCTTTAATAAAAACGTGTCCCCCTTATTTATTCAAATTAATTCTCCTCCCTTGAATAAACAAGATTTAAGAAATACCCAGTCTAAATGGTCAAAAGAGAAAAAGGGGTTTTTTATAACCAATAAAAATAAAGAAGGGCAAAAAGTTCAAACAGTTCCACAGAAGAAACTTTAATAAGACCCCCTTATACAAACTGTTTATTTTTTTCTTTAGTTGGAAAGTAAAAATTTAAAATTAATAGCTTGTACTAAAATACCCGTTTGTAAATAAAATTTTTTTATTCGTTGAAGAAAAAAAAAAAAAAAATTTCAATTAAAAAAATCAAGGCAGAATTCAAGAAGCAAAAATCTCAACACTTTCGACCATTGTGTCTTATAAACACTCACTTCCCTAAATTTGCAAAAAAAATATCCTGAAAAAAAGAAAAATAATTAACAAAAAGAAAAAAATTATGTAATCCTTTAATTAAAAAAAATTTTTTGCACAGGCGTTTTTTTCTGGGCGGAAAAAGGCTCCTGGGCAGAAAAATTTTGAATCAAAATCATAATATAATGCAAGTTTTCTTCCGACGATTAAAAATAAAATCTTAAACCGATAAAATGCTATAAATATCGTGGGGCATAATCTCCCTAAAGGGCTGAAAAACAAAGTAATTTCCTTTTTCATGTAAGTGTGGAGATCCCCGGTAAGGAAAAAAAATCTTTCACCCGGTTTATCAGCCCTATTTTCTAAATCAAGAAAATTTTTTAAGAAAAAGTTTCTGGCAGAAAAAAGGTTCCAAACGCGAGTAAATACTTCCATTGGAACAAAAAAAAATAAACAACAATAGAAAGACCTTTTATATAAAAAATAATGGAAAATAACCTTTTAAGAATATGCCAAGAGGACACAATCTTTAAGTAAAATGATGACCAAAAACTACCAAAATTTGGGGCCCAAAGTGAAATTTTAACGGAAAAATACGTAAAAAGAAAAAAAAGATCCTGGAAAATTAAAAAATTAAATGTTAAAAAACTAAAGCATAAATGGAATTTGGATTCAAAAAATGAAACAGAACTTCATCTTTTTAAAAAATAAAATTGAATCCAAACCATTTGAAAAAGTAGAAACGCTCAAAAAAATAATTCCCAAAAATTAAGCATGTTATATTTCTTTCAAGAAGTGGGAAAAGCTTTTTTCCCCCTAAAATGCTAGAAAAACTCTGGCTGCAACAAGCCAAAAAAAAAAAGCCATGAAAACGCTTGGTTATAAATAAAAATATAAATTTACTTCTTCCTAATAAAGATCTACCAATTAAAACGTTTTGATCATAACTAAATTCCCTAATTTTCCCTTTTACTGGCAGAAATAAGGGCTCTGAAAAACCTTAGTCCAATATAGAGAAGATACATTTCCAGAAAATTCCTGAAAGAAAAACTAACTCAAACTTAAAAAAACGTCCAACACCACTTAATATAATGTTTTATAAGTGCGAACTTGGCAGCGTACCCTTAATATAAATTAAAAACAAATAAGCAAAATGATTTAATTTAACTGGGAAAAAAAATACAACAATTTTAATTTTGGAAAGACAAAAAATAACATCAATATAAAAATAATAAATAAAATGCTTGAAAATGCAAAAAGATTTTGAAATCAAAAATGATAAAAGGAAAAATAAACTTTTTAAATGAAAATAAGGGCGAAATGATAATTGGTTAATCCAAATAACCCCAAAGAAAAAATATGGGAAAAACAGTAAAAAAAATTATAAAGACCAGCAAATTAGATCAAAACTGGCATGGCCCTCTATGGCAAGGTCTCAAACTAAAGAATAAATTAAAATTCAATTCCAGAGTCCAATTGACTCTTGAGGTGGCTTATTTATTTAATAAAAAAAAGGGTCCCCTGGGACTGGGCTTTCCTTTTTATTAAAATTTTTAGATGCGGCAATCATTACTTCCCATGTTGAAACTGGAAGGTGGCAAAAATATAGACTATAATGAAAAGAATATGTCAACTGTGTTTAAAATGAGAATACGTACCCTAGAAATAGGAGATGAGTTTCACTAATTTATTGACTTCTGTCCCTTTTTAATCAGACTAGAAAAATTATACATTAAACCTTATTATTTAAGAGGATGTAACACTCTTAAATTTAAAGAGCTAAACTTAAAATACGCAGTCAAAAAAAGCTATGTACATGTACATTTATTAAAATTATTTTAGAAACGGTTAAACAGTAAGGAATCACATGAATATTTTCTCTGTAAAAATGGTAATATTGTCATAGGATCTGTACACCATTACTGTATTAATGTTTTCTTTATTCCATTTGCTTTTCCTTGTCACTACTTCAGTTTTTATATATATATAAATATTATAATCCTTTTTTCTTAATTCTTTTTTTTGTAATTAATGCAAACTGTCACTTTATTGATACAGATTAACTCATATGGTCATTTTCTATTCTATTTTTTCATAGTCAAGCTTTTTTTCCTTAACTTCTTTAGTTCTACTTTACACTTTTTTCCTCATGTTGAATATAGGTCAGGTTTTGTTTTGTTTTTGTTTCATTAGATCTAGCACACTTTATTTTCTTATGTTGAATATAGTCATGCTTTTTTTCATAACATTAAAATACACCTGTCAATTATGCCTATATAGATGTAGTTTATCAGTTGTATACAATCAAATTAATCCTTTTCCACGAGTATACAATAACTATGCAAATTCTTATTTAATTAATGTTTACATGTTCTACTTCTGTGAAGACACGTGACACTCATTATCAGGTTATGACATTTCTCAGTCTTCTGCTAAATTTGCTAAACTGATACTTTTTTGATCAAATGGTGAATACTTCCAGATGCTTCGAAACATTTTATATCCATCTTTCGAATATTTAAACTAATCGTTCGTCGATAATCGTCTATTAATTAATTTATCTTACTTAACACATTTTACGGTAAGGCTTTACACAGCAGACGATTACACTACCTTTTGGGTATATAGCGCGGTTTCGATGCAGCGATTTAATTCAGGCTGCACAAATACAATACGAATAAACTCTGTTTCTTTTAAAAACAATATAAAATGGTGTTAATAATGTTCAAAGTTCACATAACTATTAAAAAGCGTAGATTATTAAATTAGTTTTTAGCCACCCAATATCAGAAAATGGAACTTTCCCAGACAAGAATTTATAGTCCTTTTCAAAAAAATAAATGGAGTAACACACTATCACTATTGTCAACCCCGTTAAGCAAACAATCTGTCACGTGACCTCACAAGGTATTTTTGTTCAAATGTATTATTCGCTGTATGCTCACATGCTTGTAATCATTGCTTGAGCTAAATAAAGTTTATGTTGTTTGTTGTTGTTGTTGTTGTTTCTATACGACTAGTTTTTTCTTAAGATTGAAAACGGTAATTTTATCCGTTACATGCATTTAAGGTTAGATACTTTCACAAGGTTATTGTAATGTGTATATATAAAGACACCATGTCTTAAAAACCTAATATTCTAGATCGTTTATGACTGAATTATAGATATTGGTGTTCGGATTTATTTTCTTAGTTAGACCATTTTGTACTATTTTAGATAGTTTTTAGAATAAAATTCTACAAAAAGTTGTTTTTATTTATCAGTTGTTTCAAACAAAATGGCGTCGTCAATGTGTTGAATTGAAAATACCAAGGGAGGAAATAAGAACGGCGAGTGCATTGTTGGGAAATATATCACGCTTCCGGCCTTCTTTGTTTATATTAGAGAAATCTCCGATGGTGTTAGAATGTTATTTTGATTTTAAAACTATGTATTTATATCGGTATTACTTGTATAATTTCACAGGGTGAGAAAACAGGCTGCTTTCCGCGACTTGAACTAGGGACCCAGAATATCGTTCTGCAATTCCATCGATTCCACTCCCTTAATGATAAGGAAACAATTATCAACCGTGACATTCTTCTTTTCTTTATTGTTATTCGTTCTCGATTTCTGAAGGTTACAGAAAAGACCTCGAAATAACTTTGAAGCTAATTTCCATCATATCATAATGTCACAAGGACGAGAGAACTGTACAGCCTGACTGGACATAGAACACGCAACCTTGGAATATTGTACCGCAGCACTACTGACTGATCTATTTTCTCCAACAATTCTTTATTCTGACCATAATTTCATAATAATTATCATCATTTTCAAACTTACTTAATTTTTATTATTTATATTCAATTACCAGGTTTACGTATTATTATTATCATCATAACTATCAATCATCATCCTCAATAAAAGTAATAATAACAAAATTTGACACTTGTCTAAAACAGGTGGTATTTAGATGGAAACAGCTTCATATTCAAAATAGTAATCAATTATGCTGAACAAAATTTACTATTCAGTTCATTTGATAATATTACAGGAACAGAACAGAGTTTATTTCATAACTTGCACGCACATAGAACATCGTTATAACAAGCATTTTGAAACACATGTTTTACAATATAGGACAAAAACACATAAAGAGAAAAATCAATACAATACTGAGCAATGGGATATTTAAAACATACAATGCAATACATCTAATATACTGACAAAACTGCATTAATCAATTATATATTTATATCTAGAAATTACTTCTGTAAATGAATAATGAAGAGCACTAAGTTTAAACAGAGAACAAACTATAACGTCGCATTTGGCAAAATATTTACTCAATATAATATAAAGAACACCACAGTATATACAATTAAAACAACGTCATAATACTATTGAAGACTTCTAGAGTTATCATTTCGTCTGACGTCTGCCTTTTTAAATAATAGAATAAGTTTGTAAGTACTTTATGGCTTTTAGATTGCAGTAATTCTATAACTTTGGCCATACTAGGCCGAATGTAAAAATAACGCTTAACATATTGGCGACGTAGATTTTCATAAGCACTTCATTTTAAAACAAAATGACACTCGTCTTCGAGTTCGTAAGCATCACAAAATTGACATGTTCTTTCGTGACTACTTTCCACACGGCTTTTACCATGCCTTCCGCACTGTTCTGTTTCGATAATATTTCAGATATTGTTATCAACACAAGAGATAACTTCTTGTATTTTCTATATCTTATCCACTTCATAGCAGAAATGGTCTGAAGTCAAGCAAAGGAGCAAGTCAGGCATACTTATTGCTAAAAAAATCAAACAATAATTTTAGATAATGTTACTATATCAATAGCTTTTGATCCATGCCAAGTTATTGAATTATATAAATAGCTTGCTTTAAGTCAACTCAACATAACAACCAATGCAGATATTGAATGATGAATTTCAAAAAGACCAAAATTCAGGATTTTTTTTGTTATACGCGTTAACAAAATAATGGTTTGCAAATAATTTTGCATGGCATGTTGAGAACGTGAAACATTTTTTATCAATATAATGTAAGACTGTTACCAGCCATATCCTAACATTTGACATATGCATGTATTAAGGTTATATTTAGCTCCACTTACCGAAGGAAAAAAAGGTGGGGCGTCAGTAAATCTTTTTGGTTAAGTTTTCGTGAATGGTCATTAATTTTACAGCCATAAAAATGAAACTTCATATATGGATATATACTAATGTGTTCTACTTGAAATATTTTGTAATAGTTTGTAGTCAATTTCCTTAAAAACTTTTAAAACTATTTCAAAACTTTTCACTTTAAACTTGATTTATTTGTTCACTATTCATTTGTTCAACATGTTATGAAATATTTAAAGGGCATATAATCCTTGAGTTATACCTTGCAAAAGTTATCTTTACTTAGATTTGTTTGTGCTCTGAATTAACCTTTCTTTCAATGTCAATAAAATATTCACTTTAAACTTGGCTACATTTTAAAGAACTAAATTGCATCTTTAAAAGACAGGTCAACCTAATAATCATCCTTTTTATATATTTATAATTTTCACAAAAACCATCACAGATATTCGATCAAACTTACAATTCTTCCTATTTATCAAGGCAAAACAGTTTATCAGAAATATGCCCTGTTTCTATGTTGTTGCTTTTATCATACTATCAAGTACTGAGACAAGTGGAGCGCGCTGCACCCTTGACAGCTCTTGTTAAATTTCCTGTCAATGATTTGAGGAATAGATAATTACAATATTCCCGTAGGTTTTGCAAATGATGATCGTTCTGTCCGTGTTGATAGACGGCTTACACCTGCGGGAAACAAACAACATTGTCTGTGCACCCTTTGCAGACGCGCAGCATAGATTATGGGATCCGAGATGGTGTTAAGTAATAAAATTACGTACAAAATGTCTCCAGTTTTGGCAATACTATCTAAATTGTCAAGGGTATATTCAAAACTTTGAAAGTATATATAAACGTTAAATATTCCAATTGGAGTCAAGAACAGCACAAATGTTAAAACAAATAGTGATGTTGTGATGAGAGTTTTAACGCTACCAGAACCGTTTTTTTGTTGATGTCTCCGCCTTTGAAGAGACTGACGCCTAATCACACAAATATATATTCTAGCGTAAATCATGATTATAACAAGAAGAAAGGCAAAAATAAAAGCAACAATAGCAAATTCTGAATTCGTTTTATCGAAGGCAATTGCTACACAAGGCGATTCTTTTTCTCTCCTATCTACAAGACCAGATATTATTTCCAGACCAATTGCAAACAAGCTTATTATCCAGATGGCACCAATACCACCCAATCCTCTTGTACTCGTCATCTCTTTTTTGTACAGCATTGGTTTTATGATCGCCAGGTAGTGATCTGTTGCAATTCCAAGTAAGTTTAAAAGTGTAGCAATAAGAGCTAAATTGGTTGTTAATCTCATTGCCACATTCAGGCATAAGTCCACATGTTTTGTCAGGATTATTATTTTAATTGACACATTCGACAACAGAATTAGAGCATCTGAGCAGCATAAACTTATAACAAGTTTTAAATGTGTTGTCCGTTTTCTATGCCCATTTATTATAGCAATGATTGCAAGACTGTTGGCAAGTAAACCTATCAAAGACAAAATGATTGAAATTACGGTTATAGTCAAGGTATGACCCTCAATCTGTAGATTATAGTCGTAGTCATACATATCACTTGTATTACTATGCACAGTTTCATTATCAAGAACAGTCGCGTTATCTTCAGGAGTTGCTTGCATTGTGGTACTGGCACTCATTTCCATATTGTTCTCTTGAATAAAACCTGGAAACCACAAAAAGAAATATATTTTAATGTATGTACATGTAAGACATTTTACGAGATAACGCTATTATTAAAGGAGTACACAGTAATTTCATAAGCGGATAAATCAAAACATCATAAATGCCTATCAACTGCTTTGATAGCAATAAGACACATGTTGGTAACTAAATAGCAAACTGATACGCTTAAACAATTATTATGCATAGACTATTTTCTAATTGAAATTCTAAATAATATACTCAAAATAAATGACATATATTTTGTTTATTGTAGTAAACGAGATGTCCACAAAAACAACTTTATATTGTTTATTTTATAGTTCTTGTGTTAGATAAAACATGCAGCACTTCAGTGGAACATAAATATATTAAAGGGACTCCATTGAGTTTTATCTCTACATGATTGTAATGGAAATAATTTTTCGAGATTAATGTTCCATTTAATTATGTGAGTCTAGACCAATAACTTGTTTGTAAAATTTCACATCATTTCCTCTCATTGTTTTCACTGATTAATTGTTCTAATGTGAAAAATGAACCAATATTGAAAAAAACCTTTCAAATTGGACGAAGAATTGCACAAAAATACGATTTTTCAATTTATTTCTGGGTATATTTTTTAATTATATTTTACATTTATTTCTGTTTTAAGTGCCCCAGCTGATGTATGTAAGGAATTCAAATTTAATGTTTTAGCTATAAGACCTCAGTGGTGTTCCTTTAACAGTATTTAACTAAAGTGATCTTAGTATTAAGGTTCATACGCGAAAACAACGAATTAAATATACAATACAATACAATACTCTTTATTGGTAAATCAGGTTACAAACATGGTAACAACATGACGATTTAACTAAAATATTAACAATATGTGGGTTAGATCATATATTAGTTATATAAGGTAAATGAGCATAATGTTGCGGGGACAGAATAATAAGTACATTTAACAACAATGTTCATGTTCTTCGTCAAATGTGAAAAAAATAACAACAAAACAAAACAAAAAACAATAGTGACAAATAAAAAGACAATAAATACAGCAAATGATGGTGATCAAAAATGCAGTCAAACCTATAGTAAATGTAAACAGATACCGTGGGAATTTTTATTTACTATAGTATTACTATTTAAAGTAGGCACGCTTTCCAAGATTTTTCGTGACATTTCATTGTTATTGACAGATTAATTACCTACGGATGTTTTAAGTGTAAAATATAAAGAGGATAATTGTTGTAAGAAAATTATCATGTTTAACTCGTGGCTACCGCCACTCATGAAATATTTATTTTCGTACCACTCGGTGAAATTAAATCCTGTACTTATAGAAAAAAGCTTGAATTTTCTGTTTATAATATACTTTTTATCATTTTTGACATTGCAATTTATAAGACTTTCAAATAACTTTGTGTATTGGCTGAATTTTAGAAGAAAGTAGTCCGGCAAGACAACAGTGAAAATATGGAAAATATGTTTTCACTGCAAAATAATTCTTTACAGTGAAAATACGGAAAATGAAAATACACATTTCAATTTTGCAATGTTTCACAATATTTCATTTACAAGTACTCGTTTATAATAAATGCATTATCCAATACCACATATAACAGATAATAAATTGTCCTGAAATACATTTATTTATTCATTTTTATTTGTCATATATAAGTTCAAACTAAGTCCTTTTCTAGAAATATTTTAAAAGAATATCCAAACGTATTCTTTTCCATTTGATAGATATTTGAAATTCTTTTGGAAAGTGTTCCCATTTTAGATCAGTCCACTTTTAGTGATTTTATCAAGATATGATTCCTGGCACATCATTCTTGGTACACCAATTATCATTATAAATTTTAATGGTATCCAATTCTTGTCATATTCACCAGAATGAATTTTTCGTTTGTCGAATGTTTAAACATAAACACTATTTATCAATATTACAACCAATCAAATTTCACCTTTAATGTGCCAATCTTATTTTCCTATAAGAGAAAGACCATGAAAGAAAGGTATAAATCATAATATTTGTTTTAATAATCATGAAATAATTTTATTTCTTTTGACAGCTTACTCCAAACATTTTTTCCTTCCATGTCGGACTCGATTCTAAAAGCCTTTTAAAGGCAAAAACCGTATCAATCAGGTCATTTCTCCAGTTAAAATTACAATATATGCATTTTTAAACAAACCTCTTATAGTATTTTTGATCTTTACCTCGCCTTTTAAGTATTCTTCTTTTGTGAAATATTCAATAACTTAATAACCTGTGTCAGTCAACAACAAAATTTATAAACTGAAACACTGTTGAAAAAATCATGCCAAACAATACGAGCTGTATATATGCCAGCTATTAATGTAGAATAAAATAGTGAAGTTAACAAAAAGCACAAAGTGTCGTCTCTAATAATAATGAAGTAATGACGTATGGATAACTTACAGAACAGGTGTTATTTTATTCTCGTCTCAAAACCTCCTGAAAATTTTCAAACTATTTTAAATAAAAACGTCCAAAAAATGTTTTCATATTAATATTAAAAGCAAACCTTTGTGCTGATCAACAAATGCTTCTATTGTCCATCAAACTCTACATAACTATGTCAATTATCTAACAAGTGCAGATAGTTAATGACGTCATGATGTACTTCACTTAATATCACATATCCGCCATAAAGGACATGCTTCTTCCTGTCATTATATGATAACGATTTTATTTCATGTAATACAACACTTTTAAATTTATATAATGGCTATTTGTCAAATTGTTTTTCCCATACTATGAATCAAATGTTAAAAGCCTTTTTTATGATTGCCTGATGAGACATTGGATATGTCCTTAAAATCTAATTTACAACTTAAAAATATTCCACCTATCTGCTTACAGACAATCCCATGTTTGAGTATAAAATATGCATGGGGAACAACATAATTTATAGTGAATTTTCTGAAATGCATTTTTCTTTGATATGAGTAAACAGCAAAATGTTCTATGACTTATATAAAAACTGCAAGTGCACGCATCATATTCTTTTATAAACCGATTTTTATTCAAACAAAAAAGGAAAGCATTCTAAACTCTGCGATTAAATGGTTATTTGGAAAAGAAAAAAGCTTTTATCTTACACGTTGAAACTGATACGCGTAATTATGGCAAAAGAGGTGACAACATATTTTTAAGTTATGTGCGTTACGTAGTATAGCCGCAGAACGTATGTCTCAACGTTATGTCGCACATAAACTAGTGCGCGGATCACGGATGCGTATTTCACGTGATCAGCGATTAGGCGGTAAAAATGCTCGAGGAAATGGCTACCGCCACTCATGAAATATTTATTTTCATACCACTCGATGAAAATAAATCATGTATTTATAGAAAAAACTTGAATATCCTCTATATATTTTTTTCGTTTTCGGGTCAAAACTGTAGAAGAATCAGTCTATCAGTTCTGCCAGTTAAAATACAAATAGAGAATATTGAATAAGTGTAGGTTCAATACTGAATTTATTGAACGAGTTGAATTATATGAATCTTACACTGGCTGCCGGTACAGACCGGAATATCTAGCTTGAGGGTGACTGTTTACGGCGGTAACGAGGCTCTGCCGAGTTTCCGTTAAACAGTTACCCGAGAGTTATATATTCCCGTCTGTACCGAAAGCCGGTGTTTGATTATTTTTCTTGCATATTACATATCTATAATTTTCAGAACAGAAATTACGAAAACTAATATTCTCATTACGCACTCTTTTCATATAGTAGCGTATGAACGTACAACTTCATTCATAACGGTCAAGTGACGTCATCCTAAGAACGCAATTCTTTTATAAAAGGTGCGCAACAATGACGTCATTTAAAGCACGCGACTTGTCTTACATGGAGGTGTAAGACAGGGTTTTCTAGCACCAGTGTAAACGGCAGATAATCCTGTCAGATATGCAAGAAAAAATTATCTTATGCGAGCCTCTTATTTAATTTTACGAGCTCAATAATTCAATAATGAACCTACACCAAAAAAGCATTATATTTATAACATACCCAAGAATAAGGACTGTTTACAGTAACGTGCAAATAATCGTTTTTTTTTTATTTCACGCGCCTATAGTGTAACGCAAACATTTAACTAATTTCCCTTTTTCAGAAAACCTTTGCACGGGAAAAGGTTCTCTTTCTTGCATGTAACTCACAAAAAGCCTTCTTTACACTTTACAAACTATATTGTAAAACAGTATACTATGTGTACCTGTGACGAAGTTTGTAGAGCACCTTCTTTTCTTTTAGCCAGGTTTGGTGATACATGTACCCAATTTTAACAAATCATAGGAATTCATATGGGCAATTTAATTGTGCACCCCTGGTCGCCGATTTGTTTTCATATTACTATGAATGTGATTTAATGTTGAGTCTCTCTGAAAATACACAACAAAATGTTATATTATATAGCATTTAATAACACTACCAGATACCTTGATGACAATTTTTATTTAAACAATTCTTATTTTGATCAAATGGTGTCTAATATTTATCCTAATGAGCTACAACTTAATAAAACGAATTCTTGAAATTTTAGTACATCATTTTTGGATCTTCATATTACTTTCAAAAATAAATACTATTCACACGAAAATCTATGACAAAAGAGATTACTTTGATTTTGGTATGGTAAAGTATCCACATTTTATGGTGGCTGATTTGTGCTATTTTTGTATAATTGTGTAAATATTTTTAATTTCAAAATTCAAAAGTAATATAAAAACACTTCTGCGGCAAGGGATTAGTCAGCCTGATTTTTATGGGGATGGTTTTACAAGCTTCGCAAGATCTTGGGTCATTGCATTCTTTCTGTTGTCTTTACTAAAATTATTCAACGTATTATTAAAAGAGGTTATCACCCTATTATTTTAAGACATACCGCACCCTTTTACAGTTGGATGCTACGCTTACCTCTTTTGATTACATCTGACGGACCAAGTGGTAGATTCTTTGATGGACAATTTTTTAAGCCCTTTGGGACTGATTTGCCTTAATGTCCGTCTTCTTCCTTGCTTCTTCGGGCCATTGAAGGTGATTTGTTTTGTTGCTCTGTCTTCCTTAAAGACATTGAGTACTTTTGTTATGGTCATTGGGGTTTCTTTTATAAGTTTCTGTATATCCATTTCGGTATTTTACTTTTTTTACCTTTTGTAACCATAACAACTGTTAGAATTTCACTTGGCAGGGATTCATTTTATTTACACTGTCTCGTTTATAGGAACATGATAGAGCTAAGAGTGAGGTTTGGTGCAACATTAATCGGTTTAAACTCGCCAGCTGTATTTATGCTGCTGACCGTTTCAAGGCGGCGCTCCTTTGTGTTTCTCAGATGTGAGTCTTTGTTGTTTCATTCTGTTTTGGTGACACTTCGATTGTGTTTCTTGTTGTTTTCTTGTCTACGATAAATATCTTCCCTTCTGCCCCTAGTTTAATTATTTTTTTTTTTAATTTTGCCCCTCCCGTTCCACGTTCTTCATGTCCCTTCCCCCATGTGCCCTTTTACTTTGTGGACCCATTATCAGTAGATTGTATTTGATTTCCTTATCGGTAACTTATATTTCCCTTTATGTATTATTCAGTGATTGTCCTATCCGTGCTTTGCCTTGTACCCTGTTTTGTTTATGTTTAGGATCATGTGCTCCTTGCCACCGGTCCTATTTGCTTGGTCGTGTGGGGGTTGCGTTCATTGAACGCCGCCATTCCTTGTTGATTTTGTTTACCATATTTGACACTATGTTTATATAATAGAAATGACGTCACGTCAAAATATATGCACGGCCATGCAATACCAATACCATTTTACGGAGTCGCAAAAACGGCACGAGTATTTGATAAAAAAATGTTACGGAACTCGTTAGTCTAAATGCAAAAGATATATGCACTTAATTACAGCCGGAAGGAAGTAAAAGTAATTTATATTGCGGCTGTGAAGGAGATAATTGTGGCGGTGGAAGTTAAATGTATTTCTTGCTGCTGCTTCTACTGTTGCTGCAGGCTTTTTGTCTGGGATATTTATAAAAAAGTACAGGAATCTACAATTGAAAAAAATGATACTTATTTTTCATTTATTGAATTGAAATATTCAAGTTATAACACTAACAGACTAATTAAAGGGTCAGAAATCTGGCATGTTTTCTGTTATCAAATTTCCATTGTTGTCTCCCGTGCATATAACCTAATATTGTTATTAAATCTACATTGTTGTCTCCCTTGTAAGATTAAAGGTTAGAGATACTGAGTACCCACAGGGCAAGTAGCTTTATGTATTTATATTTATCATGAACGAGCTTAGATATATATGCTCGGAATTGTGACCATTGTCTCCATAATAGATAAAGCACATTCTAGCAAAAGTTAAATACCTCTATCAAAGGACGAAATAACTTACTAAACTTTTGAGTAAGGGAATCATGTAGTTTATAGATAGTTGTATATTCTGAAAACGTTTGAAAACTTTCAAAATTGCCATTGAGTAGTATCGTAAATACAAAATAATATCAACAAATGATATATACAAAAAATAAATTAAATCTCTATTTGATCTTTAAACAAGGCCGAGTATCAATTGTGATCTACTCAATAGTAAAAAATAAAATGGCGGTGATAACATCTGTGAGCTGTAAATATTTCGTCATACTTCATCAAATTGGGATTATAATTTGTATACTCTTTCTGGATAACTCATTCGAAAACCTTCTTTTGTTGATGATAAAATGACCGATAGTAACGGGCGTGAAATATGTTGCACACTATTTCTTTTCAACAGACACAATCAAACTATAATAGTTGTTGTGTAGAACATATAGTAAACAACAGCGAGCGGTTTCGTCCGTCATGACGCCATTTTTAAAAATAAGAAACAAAACAAATACAACAGTACAGCACTATACCACAGCACATGTTATGACGAAACAAATGCACCAAGAGATATCATTTCAAATGTTATGACAAAACAAATGCAGCATAGATATATCATTTCAAATGTTATGACAAAACAAATGCAGCATTGATATATCATTTCAAATGTTATGACGAAACAAATGCACCGAGATATATCATTTAAAATGTTAAGAAGAAAAACAAGCAAATGCAGCAAGATATATCATTTCAAATGATAGGACAAAGCAAATTTAACTGTATTTCATTGCAATGTTATCACAAAATAAATGTTGCCGTTTATCCTACAACAAAAATAGCAGGATTTATTTTATGCTTTTCAGTGGATTACTGATTTATCCGTGAAAATTATATTTGGTAATTTCACAGTGAAAATTATCAAAATATGATTTCACTCTTTTCAATGACGAAACTACTTTTTTAAGATTTTCCCCATGTGGTACCTCAATTTTATTTTTACTGACAATTCTGACAATGTCAGGCTGTTTAAAGAAAAAGCAAAACTGAAATTGATAAATAACTTAAATGTCAAAAGTAATAAAAAGAAGAAAACTTACTTCTATTCATTCAAATTCATGAAATTCCAATCACCAAATTTCGTTTTTTTGTTTCATTTTGACAGTCTCAAAAATACATTCCTTCCCCATGCAAAACTGCTCTTGATGACA